AAACCAGCTGGGTGACTTTGGGCCAGTTCCTCTCTCTCAGCCCACGACAGTCAGGCTTGGGTGATAAGCTGGTTAGTCAATTCCTGTTGTAACCAATGGATCAACATTCGGTTTATTCCGGGAGGGGGGGAGCGGATCATGCACCTGAGGGAAAAACGCTAGGAAGAAAAAAAAATGTTTTCAAGGCAACCTTGCAAAAGATATGGCTGCCTTAATGAAGAGAAGTGCTTTTTTGTATTATTGCCATTACAAAATACCTTGTTCAGATGCTTTTCATCGTCTTCATCTTTAGTGTATGTGTTTATCACATTCAATTCACAGTAGGATATATAAAGATTGGTAATCCATTAAAAGCATCACATGGCTCCATATAGATATAGGGCTATCTATCTTTAAAAACATGAACTTGGTTGCCATATTATCAGTATCCACAGACACATTTTTTTTTAATTTTGATGACAAAGAATACTTTTTGTAAATGTTACGAATATCTATTGCCAGTTACCTTTAAGATTTAGTGATTGTATATGAGAATAAACAATGACTAGGCTAATGCTTTTGGCATTTCCATTCATAATTAAGAGCTATTAATGGAACAATAAAAGCATCTTGCTTATACTGAAAGAAAATATCATTGCACATAACTTTTTTTTTTGCTTTGTAACATTCAGCACAGAGTCACTAATTCAGGCAAAAACTGTATATAGAATTTATCTTCCATTGAGGTAATCTTGCTCAGTTCAACAAAACTCTATCGGGAAAGTGACTGATTATGCAAAAGATATGGATGGCTGATGTGAGCTCTTTATCACAAAGAAGACAAACTCTGAAGTGTGCTGACCTTTATATCAGAATGAAAGCCAAACTTTTCTCCTCAGTAGACTAACGTAGACAGTGAATGTAATTACAGCTAATTTTCCTTATGTTGAAACTGTCTAACATATTCTGAAGTAATCCTTGGAGAATCTAAGCATAACAAATGTTTCCCTTTCAGTTTACACTGAATAGATTGTCAGTGAAGCCATTAAAAATTTAATTTAAATTGGGAATGTTATGAATATAAAAATAGATGGCAAGTTTTGAATTGTTTTTGCTATGCAAGTATGAATAAACATGCAGTTTAAATTGCTTTACTTACCTATATGCTCTAATTTAGTTGTTGCTTTGGTTCTGCATTTTATTTTATGGTACTCCTGCTTTAATCATTTTGTCTTATTGCAGATTTGGCAGAATTAATTGAAAAAATTGTGTTGCGCCTCTTTGAAACACCATCCGAACATTATTTCAGCAGCAGAGAATATGAAGGTAATTTTCTTCTCCAATATTATTATTCTAGCCTGCATTAGCGAAGTAAAAGAAAGATACTTTCCTGCTTAAGCTTTCTCAGTGGCCAGCCTTTTTGCAGCTTAAATGGAGATGTAGGGAGAGCAAGATTTCTGGCTTAGGTTGATTTAATCCATTTATATAGTACCTATGTTGCTTTGTGCAAAGAGAGGAGTCTTTGGAAAAGACCCTGATGCTGGGAAAGATTGAAGGCAAAAGGAG